AACATTATTTAAATATCTTTATCAATAGGTTAGGTTAGGTTAGGTTATCGGGTTTTGTTCGAGTGACCACCCTCTTTCGATCCCCCACCTCCACCCGCTTGAAAATATTTTTTTTATTGAATTTTATTTGAATTATAGTGTATAAAAATTGTCAAAATAATAAACTTTCAACCCCTATAACTTTCTATGGGGGTGAGACCGCCGCAATTTTTTTCTGGGGTTTTACTCAGGTGACCACCCCCTTTTGATCGCCCCTACCCTCTTTCGATCCCTCCTACCCAAACCTCTTCTAACCCCTATAACTTTTTATGGGGGTGAGACCGCCACGAACTTTTTATGGTACAGTGGTTGGGGAGACCTCCTCTTTCGATCCCACCCATCCCCACCCCCGAAGGCCATCATCTAGACATTTACCGTAAATTCTTAACCCTACAACAAATACGGCCGAGACAAACGGCAAATCCCTACGGCGCCATTAATGAAACCCTAGATATAGATTCTTCTGGAGATGTTTTGCTGCGAATCGTCAATGAATAACTTCCCTCAGTAATTCTTTCTATTGCGGAAAATTCTCCAACTCTATAACGAATTCATCAGGGGAAAGACGCCAAATTCTCGCTGGTAAATTTACACGCAATAAATGGTAAATTGTATCTTGATACGTTTAGCTGCAAATCACCACTAAATCACTTTTTTACAAATAAGTTCGAAACATTCCACAGAAGTAAATTTTCCAACTTCACAACTAATTCGGCTGAGGCAAACGACAAATCCCTACGGCACCATTAAACCCTAGACATAGACCATTTCGGGGTGTATATTACTGCGAATCATCAAAGAATAACTTCCCTCAGTAATTCTTTCTATTGCGGAAAATTCTCCAACTCCATAACGAATTCGTCAGGGGAAAGACGCCAAATTTTAGCTGGTTAATGTACATGCGATAAACGGTGAATGATATCTTAACCCAATTCCAGGTGCATTTAGCTGCGAATCACCACGAAATCACTTTTTTGCGAATAACCCGGGATATTCTTACAGAGAGCATTTCCCAGTATTCAGCTACGAATCCACAAAAACTTACTTCTATTGTGAATAAGTCGAGAAATTCCATAGCAGAAAATTCCCCAACTCCATAAATAATTCAGCCGAAACGAACAGCAAACGCGCACGGGTAATCATCTTTCCGGGGAATATTTAACTGAAAAAACTCGCTTCCAAATCGGAAAATTCCACTGCAGATAATTCCCCAACTGCTCAACTAATTCTGTCGGGGCGAACAACAAATTTCTACAGGTAATCGAGCGTAATAAATGAGGTCTTACCCTCTTCCGAGGTGTTTTGCAGCGAATCATCAAAGAATCAATTCTTTTGTGAGTGAGTTGGAAAATTCTACTGCAGAAAATTCCCCAACTCCACAACTTATTCAGCTGGGGATAATTCCCACGGATAATCTCATGCGAGATATGTAGCCCAACCCTCTTCCAGGGTGTTTAACTGCGAATCCCCAAAAAATCATTTCGTTTACGAATAAGTCGGGAAATTTAATCGCAGCAGAAAACTCCCTAAGTAATTCGGCAAGGGAAATGGCTAAATGCAGGAGATAAATAAAGTTTTACCCTCTTCTCGGGGTTTTTAAATGTGAATCCCCAAAAAATCGTCTCATTTATGAATAAACCGGGAAATTCAATCGCAAAAAATTACCCAACTCCTCAACTAATTCGTGCAAATTCACATTTAAACTTTGAGTAAAAATATTCTAATATAAGAAAGAAATGTTTAGCTAAATGTCTCGGCAGTCGCAGGTTTTCATACCGAATATGAATACTTTAAAGATTACAACGCGGATACAGATAACAAATGCATTTTTCTCAAAGGATTCTGATATACGGCCATTGGAAATTGGTATCCGAATACTATTGGGATCTGTCAAATGGGAGGAGCCTAAAAACATGGCGCCGATTAGGGAAAATTTATCGTAGTTCCTATAGTGTACCGTGCAATTTCCAAGTTTTTAAATTACGATAAAATGATAAGTATTGACACAATATGTGATTGGGCTGACACAAAGCCTCGGAAAGAAAATTTCGTTGAAGGTGAGCGTGTTTTTAATGCCAATCACATTATAAAATTCGGAAATAACAAATCCGGAAGCTAGCCTTCAAATTCCGTCAAATTTACTGCCTACTTTTTACAAACTTCGGATTTAAAAAGTGATTCACGTTATATAATTGGTGAGGTGATTCTGGGTGATTTAAGCAATATCATATCAATGACTTGCACGTGCAAAACCGATTTAAGAGAACGTTGCAAACACATTATTGCAACTTTGTTGTATTGCAGCAGGCAGGTTCTTAACCTCAAAATACTTACATCGTATCATTAGGATTGTGTTAAATCAATTATACAGGAATAAATAATTTCTCACTTTATAATTCTAGTTTTAAATATTAAGGTTATGGCTGATGGTAAATACTTGCTGAAATACAATCATGTGCATTAAAATGACGTGAACAAATTTTTATTCCGGAATTCACTTCTTTGATACCTACTGCTTTCATCCAAGCTTCTATTAGTTTACTTTTTCTTTGATTTAACTTTAGAAGAAAACTTCGTCGACTCCATCATCAAAAAAATGTTTACTTTTTTAACGTGTTTTATTATTTTAATAAACAATTTTACAATTTGCGTGTACAGTTCCTATGTAAATTTTTCCCTCATTCGAGTTATAAATTTTGCCACCAGATGCTGTATGCCCATTTGACGGATCCCAATATCCACAGAATGTTTTATTTTCCAAAAAATGATAAATAATACAATTGCCGACAATTTTTATTGTTAACATCGATAAAAAACAAATGTCTGTACTCACCCTGGCCATAGTATCGTGCAGCGACGGAAGAGGTAGTCTTGGGAGCGACCCTTGAAAACTGTACAAACGTGGTTTATGATAACCACTAAAAATTTTTACAACCAGCAACCACAATTTTGTACTGAGAGATATTTTTGACCCTTTCCCTCTTGTCTCGTACATCCATCCTTTGTACATTAACAACAACTTAAGAGTATAACGAAGGGTGGATATTATACATAACCAAAGTATTAGGGCTGCAATTGAGCATCCCGTCACTTGCCATACAGGCGTCCTCCTAGAAAAAAAAATACAACGTGTATTTATACAACACGCTACTGAAGTGAAACTTTTTCAAACACACAAACATACCGGGATGGGGGTTAAGGAATTGGTTTAATGGTATTATTTGTACACTATGCTTCGCACAGGTGCAATGCTCATAGTAAATATAATATAGAATGTCTTTATATACGACAATCACAGCTTTTTTTGTCATTAGACAATACAAACCAGCCGGTACCGCCGCAACCGCTATGTCACTGCATTTTATATCTGTAATATCTTCGAAAATATTCATTTAAATTACATGCTGTAATGGGCCATATTGATTCATATTAAATGCACAATGTATTTAAATGTACTTAATTGGATAAGAATTAATGCTATATTGCTTAAAATCGCTTCGTAAATAAGTCATTATTTCTCGTAAAAAGTAAAGGATAAAAAATGGTTATTGTGGGTTATCCCTAAGAGATAGACATATACCATCCCGGACTTTTTTGTAGGCGTTTTTAAGGTGTACAATACTATAGTATATTATTTTGATCTATCTCGTAGGGTTCAGCCAGCGTTTGCAATGTAAGCGCAAAAAAATGTGTTTATTTACGACATTACATTACAAACCTCTAAAATTATCAGTGTTTCTCTACTATATTATGCATATATTATACATATAAACCTTCCTCTTGAATTACTCTATCTATTAAAAAAAACGCATTAAAATCCGTTGATCTAAGATCTAAGCATTCATAGGGACAAACAGCGGGGGAAATGCGTTGCATGATTTCGTTACATAGCAACTCGCATGAAACGAACTTACCCTACCGTGCGTAAAGAAGTTTCAAAGTAGGGAAAGAGCGAATATAAAGAATATAAGACTGATTTTAGGTAGTAGAGTAGTAGGGATATAAAGTCGCCTTCAATAAAAAGAAGTCACTTCTATGCTCGTGAATAGTTAATTTAGAAGTTCGAATAATATTGTTAAAAATGTATGTTTGTAACGCGGCGCTGTATGGGTGCGAAAAATGGACGGTGGGCGCAACGGAAAAGAAAAGGTTAAAGGCGTTCGAAATGTGGTGTTACAGGCTAATGATGAGGATACCGTGGATAGAGAATGTTACAAAAAAATAGGAGAACATAGGCGAGATAGGTTGGTGGGACACCTTCTCAGGCGTGAAGGTCTAATCAGAGACATATTTCAGGCAGAAGCAAAAGTTAGGAGGAATAGAGGTAGACCTAGATTAGATTACTGTTCACAAGTAGTTAAGGATGTGGGATGTTCTAGTTTCAAGATAGGAAAGAGATGGGAGATGCGTGTCCAACCAGTCTTTGGACTGACGACCTTATAAATGATCATGAAGAAAAGCAACTATTGGTTCTGGAAGAAATGGCCATTCATCAACGGGATTATTTAGATGGTGAAACAGTTGCAATTTTGAAATGCGCCAACTTTGTCAACTGATAACTGACCGTTTCCAAAATAAATTGCACTACTCTTTCTCAAGATGCCTATGTAGAGTTAAGAATTAAAGTTAGATAGTAAAATTGTGTTGCTTTTATTTATTTTCATAACAAATTGCGTCAGTTAAAAATTAATGGTCGATAACAAACTAAGTATTCGACCTTGGTTTATTGATTGATCGATTTAATTTGAATACGTAATTTATACGAACGACAAAAAACCAGTACTTCGTGAACATTGAACTTTGTATTTTATTGAATCCCCAACAGGCAGGTATTAATAGAAAACACAAACTTTTATGTACAATAGCAGGAAATAACTAAGCTTGTAATTGGCATTGTTTACATTAGAAAGTGAACGCTTAAATTCAAATAAGCTAACCATATATGAACTTTCAATGCTACTGGCTTATTACTTGCGTGGAGTAATCACCGCCTACTACGCATTTTACGATTAAGTAGATTAAAAACAACGAAAACGCACAATAAACCGACTATATCAAGATGAAAAAAAAAAACAATATGCAACCGAAAATTAATATTGCCATAAAACTGACGCTCAATTAATTTCAATTTATTCTTATACCTACAGATTTAATACCTACGCATTAATAAGTCAACATTATGAGAAATTACTTGAATCAGTCGTTAAATTAAAACATCAAATTCATCTCATATAAATAGCAAAATAAGTATAACAGATCGGATAGTGACTATGTTCAATAATTTATTGTTAATGTTGTTTTATTACATATAGACACTCAAAATCAACACTCACATTGTTCGTGTTGTCTTTTCCTACAGTAACCTTGTGATCCTACGCAAACTAATAAAAGCATTGTTCAGTATGAAAGGTAGGGTAGGTTACGTAAGAAAAAAACAACACAAACGAAGCGAGTGTTATCGTTGTCGTTGACGTGTAGTTCTTTTGTTTTTTGTAAACTTCTATTTTCCTCTGTTTTTAAATTCGGTGTCGATCAATGCCAAAAAAAGAGGGAGGGCTGTATTTTTGGTTCATTTGGATAGGCATGGGTTGGGTTTGGTTGTTTTACAACTTTTTTCCAATCCCCGAAAACTATGCACAGGAATGATTTCCGTAGCGGAACTTCCGCGCCTAAAATAATATACATATAGATATAATATACAGGGTGTTTCTGAAATACGTAGCAAGCTTTAGAAGGTGTTAACTTTTGTCAGTTCTTTTAAAACTAAATGTAAACAATAACGCACTGTGCACGAGATTGTAGGGAACTAAAACATTGAACAGGGTCGTACTTAAAACTAGACACTGTAAAGAATAACTGGAATTTTTATATTGAAACAAAAGGATTACATTCAATACAAGTAGTTATTTTTCCTTAAAATTAGAACATGATACATTAGTTGTAATATACAATTTATTATATTTGTAAATAACTTCAAACATCTTCCTAATGGCAATTTTTACAGTGATACTCAAACAATACTTATTTGACAAATTTTAGAAAATATTTTAATATTCTTAAAGACGTAACAATTTAACATAACAAGAAATACCATAATTAGTTAAATAAATAAATAAACTTAACAATAAATAAAGTTAACAATGCGATTAGATTACTTTTATTACTTCTCGTGGCTGTACACATTAAAAGAAGCAGAATTTACTGTTGTCTGACAAATAAATATTTTGCTTTTTTTTGAATTAATATTATTTTATATAGTAAATGTTCGAAAATTCCGAAATACCACGATGCACTAAATGACTGAATGGCGCCCTGGAAATTCATAATAGCAGTGAGAACAAGCCACAATCCCCGGATTGACCAATAAGGAACGCCAACGTGCTGGTCGGTAATTACGCGTCCAGGTTTGTTTTGGTTTAGTCTATCTCTTAAAAGAATGGAGTATAGATACAGTAGGGAATAAACTAGCGTGGTTAAGAGACAAAAAAATTTGTAAGAAAACCAGAAGTTACAATCCGAAGCCGGCCCTGGGCGTGAATTGACAGGAAAACTACAATAACACCTAAGCAGCTACACCGATGGAGAATTAAATGATGACGGTTGTAAAACGGCTAATAAATATCAACAGTTTACTACTACGCTAATAATGTTTAGACACCCATTACGATAAAAATTAATTAAATAATTACTTTGTTCATTGCTAGTAGTATACTGTACTATCTAAAGTATACCTCGAAATGGTATTAAGAACACAAAAAAAATACTGTTACGTAAACATTGATAGGTAAATTAACATACGTACGTACACTACAAAACTTGTTCGAAATTTGAACTCGGTGCTAAAAAATAGGATTCGAGGCGTCTATAAATATCATTCCGCAATTATCACACTGTTATACAAATCATTAGCATTCCGTATTGCTTTTTGATACACGCACTGCTTCATACAACCCCATACAATGAAATCAAGTGGACTTAGATCTGGACTAAGTGCCGATCAAGGTACAAGATTGTACGTCCAGTCCAGCGTCTAGGAAAGTTCGATTTGAAACTCATGCACTGGTCAATGCAATAATACTATTCTACACTGACCTACTGCCAATGACTTCGACAAACTAAATACATAGAAGCTTACAACATTAAAAAAAGCAAAGAATCACTCTAGGCTGGCTGTAAGATAAACATCAAGAATCACACTTAATCTAATCTAACAAATAACAAACAATACATGTGTCAAAAATACAAAGGAATACAACACAGATGCTGCTAAGTAGCGACCGATTGTAGGCGGTGTTACTTTGTCTTATTTTCCTGCCAGGACAGGACTAGCTCCTACCTGTACTTTCAAAAACATTTTTCTTGAAAACGATGGACTTTCGGACCACCAAACATTTACATAATTTTCATGTTATAAATAGCTCTATCATCTCGTGTAACAGTTTTACTTATTTAAGAAACACCCTCTATATTCTTGAATAGCACACTGAACTTTACAATATACCTACCAAGATAGGTAGGTAGGTTTATTGTTCAGTTCATACATAGGTGTGGCCCCTAAAGTATGCTCTGAATATCTATGAGTACTTGTAATGCAAAATGTAGCTATCTATGTATTAACAATTTAAGTAATAAAATGATAAATAAAACGAATATACGTATCGTTATAACAAATAAGTATATGCCATAATAGAAAATAACACACTATTAACTTCTGCTCTGACCTAAATACCTTCGTTTGAAGTAATTAATTATAATTGCTGCTCTTCGCTTTCTAACCATACACATACTCTAGATAACTATAACAAAATTTTAAACAAGACAATATCAAACGTTATAAAAAACGACGTATCTTCCATGCTCCATGGTATTAAAAAAGTCCACTCTAAATCAGAAGCAAAATAATGTTTATAAACTAAATTAATCGAACATGTTTTTTTTTTAATTCTACAGTACTTCAAATAATAAATGATGATGATGATGATGAGATGGTTTCTAATAAACAACGAAATTAAAAGTAATAAATTTGATATCATTTTAAAGAGTTTTTAGTCGTCGCCACGTTAAAATTATTTACGAATTAGAGTTAGTTATAATGAGAAATCAAAACCAACTATAACATTAGTATTTTACTAATTAAATAGTACTTACCCTGGCAAAAGAGGTAATATCTTTTCTACAAGATCATATGGAACTTTGTATCCACAAAAATGGACGGATACTACAATGGCCACAGCGACCCATAGACTTTCCAAATGTCCTGGATAAACGCCATTATGAATGCTATTCTGTAATTGAAAGAAATATTTTGTTAATTTTCAAGAAATACCTAAACATTTTGTATTAACATCGTGGATTTCGCTTAAGTGTTCCTCTGGGCCCAGCGTAACTGCTGACTTGATGATTTTCGGTACTAATCTAAAAAACTGATTGTAATGTTGCGAGCGATTGCCTTGGGCAGCGATCGATATCTCCAGCACCTTTCCACCTTTGATGTCATTCGCGGAGAGACAATACAGATCTCACAATAAATGGAACTGGCGAAAATCTTTCCGGAAATTATCAAGAACATTCTGTGACTGTATAAATTTCTGTATGACAAGTGATATAAATAAGATAAACGAGAAGTCCAAACGGTATTATAAATTCATATCGTAAGTCAGTATGTCAAATAAATGATTGTTAAAATATCCATATCCTAAATAAACTGTTAGCTTCAGACGTTTCGTCGGCAACGGTGACGAGAACTAACGGTACATTTAGACAACGACCCTTCAACCCTAATCTCAATTCTATAACTGAATCAATTTGAATGTAATAAGGCAAGCCTCTCGGACATCTGAAGATCCACATCATTCTAAACTGCCTATACCTATTTTGAAGTTACAATTTTAGAGTAATACGATAATAAAACAAAAAATAGAAATAGTTATGTGGCGAAACTAGTCTATTGTTTTTTTTTGTGTAAATATTCTGTATATATATTTTTTCTAAATTTGGTAAATGTCTAGATGATGGGGTGTGTGGGATCGAAAGAGGAGGTCTCCCCCACCACTGTACCATAAAAAGTTCGTGGCGGTCTCACCCCCATAAAAAGTTATGTTAGAAAAAAAAAGTTGTGTTAGTTAGATGTTGTGTTAGTTAAATGGGGGTGGGGGTAGGGGGGATCGAAAGAGGGTGGTCATCTGAGTAAAACCCCATAAAAAATTTGCGGCGGTCTCACCCCCATAATAGGTTGTAAGGGTTGAAAGTTGATTATTTTGACAATTTTCATACACTATTACTAATTATTTTCAAGCGGGTGGAGAAGGGATATCGAAAGAGGGTGGTCACTCGAACAAAACCCGATAACCTAACCTACCCTATTGATAAAGATATTTAAATAATGTTTTATATAACTTTAATATGAAGATTGGGAAAACTTTGGCGGTTGTTGTAGAACAAACAGAATAGCTCAAAACCCCAACGCCAAAACACGACACTGTAGTTGTCCGAAGCACTTTTTGGTAACAAAGTTACCTTCTTCAGGGACTGAAGTAAACTAAACCTAAATGAGAACTAATCCTAATTTATACTGATAGTTGTTAAGGTTCAGTGAACATGACCCGAAGCCAACAAGGTAGATGTTCAATGGACCTTAACATCATCATCATAAACGTAATTAAACTAAACTAAATAGCGGAGATCCAGGGAT